TTTGTTTTTTTTTGTTTTTTCCGTTTGTGTGTTTGTCTGTCTGTTTGTTTGCTTCTCTTTCTCTCTCTCTTTTCTACTCCCTCTTCCATCTCCGTATCTCACACACTCTTTCCCTCCCACTTCCCTCTCCGTCCCTCGTCTCTTTCTTGTTTATAGTAAATTGCGTGTCTTGCTGCAACTTGTTTGTTTGAAAGCTGGTGTGTGATTGGTTGGAAGAGCAAGCGAGAGAACCAATAAGAATGCTTGTTAGTTTCTGCTCCCCGCTCTGTTTACTTTTCCCTCCTCGTCGACAAAGACAGGTATATAGAAATCATTATCGCATACACAGACAGACATAATGAATACACTCGCATACACCAAAGTACAACGACACATCTCCACATACACATGTAAACTTATAGATACACAGATAAACAGACACGCAGGCACCTAAATACACACACAAAGCTCCCAAACACGTTTCCAAAAAAAGGTTGTGTGTGCATATATCTAATATTTGAAAGAGCTGAGGACGTTACCTAACTTTGCTAAGGTCAAATCTATTTGAGCATCCAGCGGAAGGGCAGAAAAGACATGGGGGAGGAATGCACACACTCACACACACGTATATACATACATACATATATATATACACATATATATGTGTGTGTTGGGTGTGTGTTGGTGTGTGTGTGTGTGTGTGTGTGTGTGTGTGTGTGTGTGTGTGTGTGTGTGTGTGTGTTGTGTGTGTGTGTGTGTGTGTGTGTGTGTATGTGTGTGTGTGCTTGTGTCGTGTGTGTGTGTGTGTGTGTGCGTGTGTGTGTGTGAGTGTGTGTATGTGTGTGTTGATAAATAGACAGATACAGATATAGATATAGATATGGACAGAGAGATAGATGTGTATATATACATATACATACATATATATAGATACATACATACATACATACATACATACATACATACATACATACATACATACATATACGTACTCATTTGGACATACATCCTGATATACATACACATACCAACACAAATATACCCTCATATACCCGTCCACAAAAACAAATCGAAACTGCCTCTGGATCGAAGGGCTAATTCACACGTTCCAATAATACTGACGACCTCCCCTTTTTCGAAGACTCGCCCTGAAGGCAGACGAGTTGCAGGAGCGGCTGCAGGGGAGGTCCTCGATTCCCCTCGCCTTCGGTAATTGCATTCGTTCACTCTACCTTCAATTGTTCCTTTTAATTCTCTCTGACGAGCTCCTGCACACACAAACACGTACAGGAAGTTCGGACAAGTGCGTTCGGACAAGCGTGGTGACATTCAAAAGTCCGTTGGTGTATTATGTGTTCTTGCATACGTGTGTGTATATGTGCGTGTATATCTTCATGCATGTAGGTATCTATATCGCAGATCTATTCTTCATGCTTGAGGAAATACGTGTAAATGTTGATTGACGCACACAATCTGTGTGTATGTGTCTGTGTGTGTGTGCGTGTGTGTGTGTGTGTGTGTGGCTCACTTCGCATAAGTTTATCAACTGCTCACCGTGTTGGTATCTGTAAATTATTTCATTAGTGACAGGTAAATACATACCTACAGTATAGTATTTTATTGCCCACGTGTTACCCTAGTTTACCTATTTATATATTGTTAGTATTCTACATCTCTTCACGTTATTCACTGCAATCACACATATAACACTATTAGCAGTACTACTCACTCAGTACTACACATCCAATATTAATTCACATACATCCATTCCGAACGCTCACGTATCTACACATACATAATTAATAACATCAGACCAGAATCCGACGACGCCAGCTGTCTACACCTCACGCGTCTTCCAGCCCAGCACTTCCTTATATGGTCTCACCTCCTCCTCTCACCCCGTATATAAGGCGACGTCTGCTTCCGGTGTTCGGCCAGATGCGATTCAGATCTCCTGCGGGACGGACGGAGCCTTGCGACTTCCGCGGACGGATCTCGTCGACTCATCAGCTGTAGCTCTCTTGGCAATTCGCAAGCAAGATAACAGTTGTCACGGCAAAATACTTTCTGCTGTATATGAATATGAATGGATGAATAAATAAATAAATAATATATAATATATATATATATATATATATATATATATATATATATATATATATATATATATATATATATATATATATATATATATGTACATATATATACATATATATATATATATATATATATATATATATATATATATATATATATATATATATATATATATATATATATATATAATATATATATATATATATATATATATATATATATATATATATATATGTATATATGTATACATATATATATAATATATATATATATATATATATAATATATATATATATATATATATATATATATATATATATATATATATATATATATATATATATATATATATATATATATATATATATATGTGGTGTGTGTGTGTGTGTGTGTGTGTGTGCAGATATGTATGTATGCATATACA